AGGATCATTTTTAAACCAAAGACTTGCAAGGCTTAAGGCATGACCATTTTAAAACTCTTTGACCAGCAGCTTCCTCCTTTACTCCCAAATCTCTACATTCTTTTCATCTTTATCACAGCTTCTGCTCTCAAATACCAATTTTTCCCAAAGATATCTGAAGGATTTGAACTCTTAAAGGTGCTTCTAGGACAACCACAAATGGATTACAACAACAGATTAGGTTTTAACGGACTCCTTAACACCATTCTGTGGGCTCAGGAATCTTAATGTTAGATTTCTGTTCAGAAACACTAGGACAATGAGCAGCCTTCTCTACAAAAGCTACTAGATATAAAAGCACCTATATCATGAAAAGGGGTTCGAAAAACTTCACCACTTCCAATCTGGGTTTCCTGTGAACATTCAGAAAAGGTACATATCTAGGGATTTTTTAAAAAGAAAAAAAAAAAAAGGACTTTTTCTGGCTGCTCCCACGGTATTATAGCCAAGTAGCATGAGCTCAACTCCTAGCTTTCAAGACACGAGATAACTGACAGAACACGGCTGCACTGTCACCTCAATTGCCAAGAACCACAGACCTAATCTAGCTCTATCCGGAATTCTGATAGAATTTCAATTACTAATGTTTTCACAGAAAGGGTCACAACTCTGCTAATAAGAATATTAATTTCCATGGTCTGGGGTTGTGGCTCAGTGGTAGAGCCCTTGCCTAGCACGTGTGAGTCACTGGATTCCTCAGCACCAAATTAAATAAACAAAATGAAGTTATTTTTTTTTAAAAAAGAATATCAGTTCCCTAATAAGAATATTACACTAAGTCAGTAGAAATAGAAACTTATTGATAACAAATATTATATAAACAGGTTATAAAAAGACAATTCTACATCTCTTCCATCACTAGAACACTATCTTGGACAACGCCTCATTTTTTTTAACTTCTTCTACATTTCCATATTTTTATTATAGCATGAAAAATAAAACTAGATTCTCTCAGTTCATTTCTCTTAGGTAGCACTGTCTGATGACAGATTTGCATTTTAGTTTGAGGCTTTTTATTGTTATTATCATTTTTTGGGTTTTGCTGCCTAGCAGAAAATGTACTTGTAAGTGAGCATTCAAAGATGGTGTCTGTCTGACTAACCAGGAAATCACCTCTGCTTATTTTCCATATGATAATTTCTTTATACTATTCTTTCTAGTTCTGTATCTTTCAGAGTGAGTTCTCAAAGACCACCTATAGAAAAATAAGAATCACTGGTTACAACYATTTCTAAAATATGCTGTTTTTTATCTTGTCTCAAGACACTCTTGGAAATGTATTAAGTAATAACAAAGACTGTTTCTACCACTACTTTCTAATTAAAAGTTGCACTAATTTCTAACTCAGCCTTAAATTGTTAATGATGCTAATCCTCAATTACTGTAGTCTGATTTTCCACAAATGAAATAAAAAACTTAGAAAGATAAAACAGTTTAACCTATATTCTATCACACAGAGAAACTATGAGCTTTTATTTCATTAGGGTTTTCTTTCAATTCAATAATTTGTAGTAGAATGTTATATATCTACACACACACACACACACACACATATATATATACTCACACATACATATATGTATACATATGAAGCTACAATTTTATATTGCTTTATAACCCACAAAAACCTAATTTATTGCCAAGACTTTCCATTTTAGAAATGAAAAATACTTTCAACTGGACACCAATCTGAAAATGTAAACAAAAACAACTTTTTWAAATAAGAAAATATATAATTGTATACCAAGCTATAGCAATATGGTAATTATGGCAGTTATTTTCCTATGAAAAAAAATAAAGCTGTTTAAATTATTTTTTCAATTCTGGTTCTTCAAATACCAATGCTTTTCCAACCTCTAAATTTACTTCAGATCACACTAAAAACTACGAAGTAGTGACAAAATATCTCCTATATAAGAGCAGGAAATTTATTCATCAACATGTTTCCAAATCTTGTGAACACTTCTAGTATCCTAAAAATGAAGTTGCTGATATCTAGGCCCAACCTCTGAACTTGTCAATCAGATTCAGAAGGTAAACCTTGGCTTTAGCATTTCCTAATATGAATTTAAGTTAGTCTGAAATATGCCAACCCTGCATGCAAATGAGGACAAAGATAGACACCAAATAATTATTTCTCTTCATTTAGTAGTATCATTTTCCTGTCCAAAAAGGGAGGAAAAAAAAACCTACATAATTGCCATAGAATTTTTGGTTGTAGTGAATAAATCACTACTTCCTAAAAGTTTCACCTCTACCTGCCTAATAGACACAAGAGTTATTGTGAAACCAATCTTAAATCTCTCTCCCCATAAAACAATCACCAGAGATCCAAAGGCAAATTAGATATCCAGTCTTCAGCTTAACAGTCAGCGGTCCCTCTCCAAGGGCAAAGCCAAAAATATCTTCTGGACCAAATGGGAATTCCCGACCCTAAGGTCCATCCTTATAAGTTCTTTCTGGAAACACGCATGTTATATAGGTTGTAGCAGCATATTACCCGGACATGTTAACAACATAGGATATTCATCAAATGAACTCATCATCAACAGGTAGAGAGCAGAACCCAAGAAAATGAGCCACATCAGCAGCAACTTTTGTCTGTGTGTGTGTGTGGTGCTGGGGAGAGCAGCAACTTTTGACAGGAAATGGAGGAATGACAGAAATCCCTACTGGATAGACAAATCTTAAAGGCCAGAATGTCTAAATTCACTTCCTTTACAAATTTATAGGTCAGGAGGTGGAACCACTGACAAGATTTTAACTGAAAGATATGTGGTCCTGAACCACTGAAGCTGTTCTAAAGTTTCCACACCTCTTTGTCTAAATATGGACATATGAGAAAACATAAGTGGTAAAGATTTTATTAAATGAGGATGAACATGTAACAAAAGCCAATACCAAGCTTGATAAATCCTTCAATAATAAATTCTAATAGTTATTCTGCAACAAAACACCCAGATGACAAAATTATATGTGCATATTTTCTGCATTCAAAAGAATTAAGTACAAAGATAAGCATATTTACCATTATGTCATGTCATGTTAGAAGATATTAGAAAATTCTAMAGCAAATCTTCCAAAGTTTTGAATTAAACCTACCTAAAAACTGAAAAGTACCTCAAACTGCCAGCATATAATTTCTTGCTGTACTTTATATATTACTTGCTAAAGAATGATCATTCAAGTTCCAAGTAGTGAAACTACAGTAACCAAAATGATACATTGTCAATCTGTCTCTAGCATCAACTCTGAAAATATGGATAATAGACACAAAAGGATTAGAAATCCAATTTTCTACATGAAAATTTAAGTATTGCTTTTTTGTTGTTGTTGTTCCCTGGGATTTTGCCACTGTCCTTCCAATTGTRACAATTTGTATTTATTCACATCTAGAGTAAGATATTCTGAGGGGAGAAGATTAATTTTAAGACTTGGAAATGTATTTTAATCCTGTAGGTAAATGTTCAGTAAAACAATTCGCATTAGTCTTGATCAAATAAGTGATTTAGTCTTGTGATTTTTTTTTTAATTAGATGAAATGTCACATTTAAAATCCTACAAACATGGAAGATACAATTATTCCTAGGATAAAAAATAGGCGTTTGAAATACTTACAATGACTTAATGACCTGTATTAATACATATTTTACACTCAAATACTAGATGGTCTCTGTTCCTTTCAGCTCATATCTTCCTTAACTCTTTACTAGACTATTCTTAGAACCTTAGCACTTACAGGTAGAACCTGAATATGAAAGAAAATTCACAATTAAAGTTATCATCATTAAGCCTAATTAAACAGTACAGACAGAAAGATGGCAGTAGAATAAAGCAGTCTGAATTAGGGATAAGGAGAATATAATTAATAGTTCTTCCCATGAATGAAGCAAAGTATACAAGTCTGGCTGGAGTTTGGGATATAGTGGACAATATCTGTCTTTTGGGTGAACTAACTCAACAAGGTATAGACTTTTGTATCCTATTAATGCGATACTCTACCTGAAGTAACCAATCATCCCGCAGGAAAACACGTGTCACCTAGAGTGAATCCCCTAATTTTAGTATGTAGGCTCCCTTATTAGCAGTTTTCTTACTTTCTATCCTAAAGGGGAATCCATAAGCTCAAATGCTGCAAAATGGTTCAGGTATCTCACTCCTGTATTTTGACTCTGGTCCAAACAAAAGCTATTAAGTAGGGTGGGATTTATTCACTCCATTAGGTAAAAGGCTGTGGCTGTTTTCAGGATACAGGCTCCCGCTTTAACACCTGCCATAAATTGTGATATTATCGTGACAGATGCTTCATATTCAAAGAGTTCTTGATTGAAAAACTGATAATATCAGGAGTCAGTGAAAGGAAGCGTGATCGCCCTGCAGAGTGCACCAGAAATAAACAGGAGAGTGGCAATGCTGGCAGSACTTCGCAGGCTCACGGCAGGGGCGAGGAAATCTTCCCGTAAGTTTCCCTTCCTTCCACGAAATTACCCTGCCATGCCCCGCATCCCCACCGCGCCCTACTAAAAGAAGTCAGTTCCGCAACTCGCWGAAGGACAGGGGGACAGCTCCTCACCCACCGGCAGAAGTTGGGTTTGGCGGCAGCCACAGTTTAATCCTTCCTGCTGGAGAGTCGAGGCTGACACCGCCTTCTACGGGGGCAAAGCCAGGATGCCAACTTTCCCGCGGCCCCCTCCTCTGCGCACCAGCCCAAACTTTGTGGTTGGGCGGTGTAAAGTAGCGCTGGGTCGTGGCCGCACCTCGAGCAGGCATTGGTGCTGACCTTCACGCCAGCCCCCAGTGGCCAAAMCCGCCGCCCGAGCCTCCAGCAGGCTGCCTCCGGACCCCCTTCCACCGCCCCCCAGCCCTCGTGGGAAATCGGACGACGGTAGCCCGGCCCCGCGTGTCACCACAGTCTACGATCCACCGAGGCCCCCAGAGACCGGTTTTCGAGGTCCACTCACCATTGGTGAAGGGCTCCATTTTCCCCCCCGCTGCGGCTCCTTATAGCCGGAGCGCCCGAGCTTCCTACTCCGAGAGCTGAAGCGGCCCTGTTGACTGAGCATGCCCAGCGGGGCCTTGAGGGTTGCCGGGGAGGTGCCGCGTGGGGCGGCGCCGCTCCGCCGTTCCGGGTTTTCGCTTCGGCTGCAGAAAGAGCCAGGGAGGCCGGAGCCCGAAGCTTCAGCTCAACCCTCGGAGGACTTCAGGGAGAGGCGGGGAAAGAGCGGCCGGGGCGGGGCCAGCGCGAGCCCCGCCCCGCCCCTTCCAGAAGTGCCAGCGGCCGCAGCGTTCCCTAACCGCGAAGCTAGCTCACTTCTTCAGCCAACGTGGAGGCCCTTGAGTTCCTGGGCGCCGCTAGGCCGGCTCTGCGCCAGAAAAGCACCGCCCCGCCCTTGTGGAGAGGACATTCCAAAGACAGACAATAAACAAACGCAGAAGACACGCGAGAGTAAAATCAGTGCCCCACCGCGCATTCAGTCAGGATGATGTGATGGAGAGGGAGTGGGTCGTTCATTCAGTTGGCTTGGTGATGTGAGGCCTCGCTGAGGACGTGTCACTGAAGTCGAGATCTGAAGGCAGAGCAGGATCCTGAGGAGGAAAAGTCACTCTTCGGACCGCGAAACGTCGGTTTCCAGGGAGACTGGCCCSAGGCAAATCGCTTAGAGGCCAAAGGAGCGAGTGATGTGGGTCTTTTCCGCAGAGCTGCCCGCCGATTGCAGAGTTGTCCCAGAGTTGAATCTCGCTGGCTAGGAGACCGAAGTGAGGGCGGGGACGCCCACGGACCCCACAGCGCTCGGGGTCGCGTCCGCAARCTGGCGGCTCTAGGCGCGGCCTCAAGATGCGGGCGGATAAAAAAACCCGGCGCCGGATCTCCCGGCCGGGCCCCAGGCGCCGCAGGTTGTGGGCAGCCGCTCGCCTGATCTCAGCTCTAAATCAACACCTGCGGTTCCCTGGGGCGCTGTCTCTGGGGCCTTGGGCCAGGCCCTGCGGCGCTAGGCCGAAGACGCTCTCCTAGTCTCTCCTGTCCCCCAACACTCGCGCCATTGTCTCCAGCCCCGAGTCTCCATTGTTTCCAATGCCAAATCCCGGCAGCTCTGGTGAGCCTTCGAGACAGAATCGTCGGTGGACCYGTGAACCCCGGGGAAACTCTTCTCCGCCCTCTTCCTCATCCCTCTCTCCGAGTGCGCATCGCCTCCACCCTCGCGGCAAAGGCCTCCCCCCTCCCAAGGCGCAGCCACCGCTCCTTTCCCTCCTCCCCTCCCGCAGCTCTGGCCCCTGCAGCGACTTGGCTCCGGATGCACMTCACTGCGCCTGCCAACTGTCACGCAGTCCTCTGAGGCTGTCAACAGCMGGGCGTCGGGTGCAAACAAGCCTAGGCGAGGGCAAACAGGGACGGAGGGCCAGGATGTTTTTCGACCAACACCAGAATTAGAAATTGGGTTCAGAGAAATGAAATCGAAGTGCAATATCGTATTTTAAAATGTCAATTGTCTTACACCTTTTACTTCCCACCCCGCTTTAAAACTTCAAATGAATACCAATTTTAATTAGAATAAAAGTGAAACTCCTTACCTAACTCTAGGAAGGACCTTATCAATACATGCTCACCATGCTTTGGCTACAGAGGCCTCCTAGCTGTTCCTGAAAGTGCCAAATTCCATAYGACATTGTTAACCATTCATTTGCATATCCGTTGCAAAAGAACTAGTTGTTCCTTCTTGGTATTTTGTCTGCTGATTTCTTCTTGTCCGTTAAGTCTCAGCTCAGATATCACTTCTGCAAAGAACGCTGTTCTGACCACACATCTAAAACAGCCACAGTCTGCTCTATAAAGATTTGGCCTTACTTCTTTACAGCATTCAACTCTGTCAAAACAATGGTTTTGGTTCTTCGTTTAATTATTATCAATCTTCCTCTTGAGAGTGCAAAAATTTTGAGGACAGAGTGATTGCCCCTTTTAAGGTTATATCCTGATGCCTAGATAAGTATCAGATGAATAATTATTGAATGAATGAGTGAATGGATACAGTGATACTTAGAGCTATAATTCACAGCCAATGTTAAAAAAAACAGTGTATCTATAYTGAATATTTCTAATTAATGTGTTTGTGTTCAATAGAGAGAAAATACTTCCATTACATGACATTTCAGAGCTGCTCTCTTCCCACTGTGTGAAAGATAATAGCCCTTAGGGTGGACCCTGTAAGGGCACTTCACAACTAAAAATAAAAAGTGAACCAACCACAAGGGTTAGTGTGTCAATGTTCAGATATTACACAGTATAAGCAAAGTTGGATTTTGTTAAAATGATTCTTTGCATTGCTTAGTTAAGAGACTCTTTTTATTTTAGGTCATGTCATGTTTCTCTGGAGTTATTTTTGCAGCCATTGCACTTAGTATCAGAGATATTTAAAACTCCATAGCTTGTTAAACCACCTCACCTCATCTCACCTCACCCCACCCCACCTCACCCTTCAGCTACAGTCTATTATGCTTTTAAGTGTGAAACATGTGGTCTTGTGTTTTGTTTTAAATACTTCAACTCTGCAGACTTGTGGCAAAAATGTTTCCCCACTGCACTAGCAAATATAGGTGGATCAAGATCTTAGTGAGATTTGACAGAAGCAAACAATTTCTTTGCCCCTCACACTTCCTGTTCTTACATACATAAAAAGACATTGAGGACTCTTTAAAAGACTTAAGATCTAATGGGAAAAAAGTAAACAAAACAATATGCTTCAGCATCCTAGCCACCCTCAAAAGAATAATAATGAATTTTGTCATGTTGTGTGCTGTTTTATATTTAATTTCATAAAATCTGAGGAAAAGTATTACAATTTCACTACTGAAACCCATTTTACGTTTCTATCTTTAACCCCTCCCACCCTCCCTGACAGCACTTACTCTTTAGTTTAAGAATTCTAACACTTCAAAATATTATGAAGTTACTACTCTTTATCAAAGAAGCTAGTGTGACATTATCTACTACATACATTTACCATTTTAAGAATTATTTCTGTGTGCCATTTAATGTTTGAATTATAAAATAAAAAAAAAWWA